ACTGTCATCGTATTGAAACGGCACAAGTGTCTTTCCTGTCACCGGCGTTCTCACATCTTCGTAGTCATGGTGATCTCCGCATTGGCTGCCGTAATACGCTGCGGCCACATGACGCGAGGGATGACGGCGAAGAAGATGACAGGTACGAGGGCGGTCCACGCCGTCAACAGTACGTTCATCACCCACATTACTTTTCCTAGCTTCTCGAGTAATCCGCCCGTGTTAATCGCAAACACCACAGCGTAGTTCAGAAGTGTAATGACCAGGGTACCGACGGCAGCCACGATGAAGGCGACGTTGATGCGAAGCCTGGAGGAGGTCCGGCCCGGTTCGGCGACGGTGGCGCCCCCACCACGTGAGCGCATGCCACACGCGACGCGCACGATGCAGGTGAGGCAGGATAGCACGCCAGTGATGATGAGAGGCACCAGCGTTCCAGGGAACGTGTTCAGGATGCTATACAGGAGGTAAGGAAAATGCGTGTATGGGCAGTGCGTGACATCACCGCGGCGTCGCGCCTCGAGGTGTAGCAGTACGACGATGTAGATGTTGATGAGGAAGGACAGGATGCAAATAACGACCTCAAATAGCCAGTAGATGCGCACGAGAGAGAACTCGGACCTTGGTCGACGCGCGGCCACCACGCGCGACGCCATCATCAGTACCAGCGTCCACGAGATGGCGAACAAGAGGAAGGCGAACACGAAAAAGTCGGCGACGCAGTAGTGTACCGACATGTTTTCGGGATCCTGGTACTTTCCCGCGATGATCATCGCTGTGTAGGAAGCGTGTTCGAACGTCAGCACAGTGCATAGGAACAACACCATCGTGCCGGCGTTCGTCGCCATCCGTCGGCAGAAGTTTGCGACCTGCATGGCGACGGCGGTTCCGTTGAGGATCAGACCGAGACAGGAGAAGACGACGGCCGCCCATCGCGCGTTGTCGGCGAATTTGTCCCAGGTGTTCCCCCAGAATAGGTCCTCGCGATCGCTGCTGTCAACGCTCCACGACGATGTCGAGTTCATATACATTATGTAGTCGTCGTCCATTTTGATCTTTATAGCGGATTCTTATTCGAACCTTCTGCTGAGCAAGGGACAGCCACCACTTGCTTACGTCGTCGTATGGCCGCGTGTATATGTGTGGAATCAACACGATCTTGTCTGGGAGGCTACTTATACAACTTCGCGGTGTTATGTGTTGCTGCTGCTCCTCCGCACACGCGATGACATCTGCTGAGCAAGGGAACGACCACCAGTTGCTAACGTCGATGTGTGGTTGGGTGGGGCTAACGCGCTTGTCATTGGCAGGTTGGAATTTCGCAGAGTGCGCTAGTCTAGTGAGGAGAACTGACCCAGTTGTAAAAGCAGATTTCACGTGGCTGGCCGAGTCCCCTTTACGGAGCTATAAATAGTTACTGCGTGATGTATCCCATAATAGGCCTCTACCACTCTGTTCAGGGTCGTAGCCTGAGGGTGGACGGGGTGGAGCAACAGTTACGCCCACATAGATTTTGGAGAAATGTAAAAAA